GTTTTGGACAGGCGAAAGGGTCAATATTGGACACGAGGCTTGGCTCGAAGGACCAAAGGAATGATGTGGGGGACTGGGCCGCTGGGGCGCTCGAAGTGTGGTCAAGTGTAAGTCGTTTCGGCTTTGCTGTGTAAATTATGTTAAACGTTTGTCAATTTGTGTGATTTGTCTTGTCCGTGTCCGTCCCAGTGCCCGTGTCCGTGGATAAGGTGCGTAAAGGGGTTGACTGTCCATGGTCACGCGCTATTAACTCCAATAAGTGTCAAGCGGTGGGGTTGGATGCCATAGGTGTGGATTTGTGGCTTTGCGTGCTGAGGGACCATGGCTGAGGGAATCTTTGAACCTTTTTTGTGCCTAAGTGGTGCCCCTTAAGGCCCTGTCTTCCCTTCCACTTGGTGGGTGTCTAATGCTTGTCTAATGCTGTTTAATGCTTTGTTTAGTGAAGTTCCTTCTCATTGGAATCGTATGCGTAATGGAATCTTGATGTTGAAACTTAATTTTTCTGCACCACTCACCCCATTGGCTGGAGATTTCTCTATTCTCTGTTGCTAACTGATCGCTGGGATACCATACCTGGCAGAATTTCTCCTCCTTCCTTTCTCCTACGAGTATTTTTCCATAGCCAACTTTTGCATGGAGAGGCTTCTGCTGGGCTCTGCTTTGGTCAGACATTGATTGAGCAGCGGCTGGAGAGGGTGGAGAAGAGCAGGGAGAGATGCTCGTATCTTATGAAAGTTTCTTTTTCCCTTACGCCAAAGGAAAATGACTAACATTGGGTGTGGCTGTGGGTCGGGCCGAATAAAGGGGGGCGGCTAATAAATCGGCTTCAATATATCAAAGACTTAAATTTCAATTTTTTTCAAATTTCCTGCCATTTAAATGCACTCCTTCGTCCGGGCACCCATCCTTAGCCCGGTCGTTGGGAGGGGTGGGGCTTCGGTCTCTCATTGTTATGGTTTGGTTGGTAAATGGTGCGGACTCTGCGACTGCGACTCTGGAGTGGAGTGGGCTACCTCCAGTAGGGGGTTGGAGTCGTGGCATTTGCTGCAGAATTGTGCCTTTTTGAGAGAGCTAAGAATTGAATATTTTTCTTTTCACTTCGGCGTTTTTTTTTTTTTTTTTTTTTCGCTCTGCTTTGGCGACAGACAACGACGCAATTCTTTAGCATTTTATTTCAATTTTCTTCATTTTTTTGTTGCCGCCCGCTTTCCAGATACCCGGCCAAGAGGGCTGTACAGCACATTTACTGCCTCATCTATTTAATACCATAAATAATTGCATCTAATTAAATATGCTCAAATGAAAATGTCCGCTTTTCTTTCTTATTTTCTTATTTTTTTTTTGCGCTCTGCTCTCCGGCCGGATCCCAGACCGTAGCGGTAGCCGTCGCCGTCGCCAGGCTACGTGCCAGTGCTGGGCTGCAGTTGACGCGTGATGGAGCGAATGTCATTCGGAATGAAATTCAAGTTCTAATTTGGACCGGCAGAGAGTGTTAAGAGAGAGAGAGAGGGGAAGTGGGAAAGGTTGGGTGGCAGGAAGAAATTAAGTAGCAGAGGGAAAAACCAAGCAAAAAAAAAAAAGAAGAATTTAATAGTTTTCAATTAGGAATCGTTTGCAGCCTTTTCTTTTCACACCCACCTACCCTGGTCTGTGTCGCGTCTCTCTCCCTCGACTGTCGCTCTTATTGCCGTTCCTTTGTGGCACACACTTGACGCCACAGTCCCGCTGTGCCCCGCTGCCACTTTTTCCGCAGCCAAGTGTCAAGCAAATGAAGTCACGACTCGTCCTGCTCCAGCTCCTGCCCACACTCCAGCCACTACTGCTTATCAGCTACCCAGCAAGCGCTCATTTAGCGAATGGGGTAGCTTGGGCTGGCGAATGTGGGCTTAGATACATATGGATATGTATGTAGATTTATTCTACCTATTATTATTATTTCTATTATTCCTTTGCTTTTGGATCGATCAAGTCAGTGCTAATCCATTTTATTATGCTGACTCAATGATGAATAAAGAGATGTGAGTAAGCTTATCCAACCAATAATGGGATAAACATTGATATAATCCAACAGAATGTCTCTACAGCGAGTCTTTTAATTTTTACAATTTATTTCTGCTCATCATTTCTGCTCCCAACCCAGAAAAACCCTTACAAACGTCATCAACCAGTCGAATCCGCTTGCCAACATACCCAACATTCTTCTCTGTGTTATATTGCTATTGCTATTGCTGTTGCTGTTGCTGTCTCTTGTTGTTTTGGCTGCCTTCCATTAAAAATTCAACGTAAATTTTATTTTATTTTAATTTGCGCTGCAATTCTTTCAGCACCTCCCTACAACTCCCCTGTCCAAAAGGGGTGTGTCTTCATAAAGACACAACGTCGCCGAGGTCTTTTTTTGTTGCCTTTGCTTTCGGTTTTCTGGTTTCTGTTTTATTTTTGTTTCTTCTTCTTTTTTTTTAAATGATGTCCCGTGTATTTTGCCACGTGACTCTCAGTACGCGCTGTCTGCGTGTATGTGCGTAGTTATTGTTTTAATTAAATGAATAAATCCATACAAATCAATTGCAGCCATGTGTCCTGGGAAAAAAGAAAACTGCTTGGAAATTACAGGGTTTTCTTGCTGTTCCCAAGGGAAAATGGCCGTTTTCCGTTACACTTATAAATAAATGTATTATGTAGTCCAGCATAGATTCACAGTAATAATAATAATAATAATAATATTTGGACATGCCTTAAAGTGCGCGCAAAATTCGAAAATGTTTTAAGTTGGTCAATAAGAATGCAAATATTAAGGCAAGCAATAACATTATTCGATTTAATTCGATTTAATTCGATTTATGGTGTGGAAACCCTTGACTCCGAGTGCTTTGCCTTTATTCGAGCTATTTTCCAGGCTTAAGTCTCTATAATTATATAGTGTATAGAATAGAGTGTATTCATAGTCAATCAATTCTCATTCCATTGCAGCTTGGACATATCCAGAGAGTCGGAAAGTGACTCGACATTCAGACACTGAATAATCAGTTACTAGACATATCCACTCGGCTATATGTATATACTCAATGGGCTTCAAAGGTGCGTATAATCACCCAGTTTTCGGGGAGCTGCAACCACTGAAATAGTTGCGCTGTGCGGCTAACTAGTGCCAGTAACTAGCCACAGAGCAGTGCTTCGATTAGAAACCCATAAATAAGCCTGGAAATACTTGAACAAAACTTTCAGAGACATTTAACTTCTGTTTTCTGTTTCTGAATCGGAATTTATGGGGGAGGGGGAGTCGACTCCATCTACAAGCCGACCAAAAACTCCAGCACGGACTTAGGGGCAATCAATGCTGGGACCAGGAGCAGGGCCAGGACCAGAACCAGAAACAAGTCAAGACAGTTACTTAAATAACTTTGCAGCAAGCAACAAACTGAAGACACAAACAACAGCAAACAACGAGGGGCAGAACGATGGAAATTAACGGCTCAGGCCAGGCCGAGTTGGGCCGGGACCAACTCCTCCGTTTTGCAAGTACAGTACGCCGGGGCCAGGAAGTTATTGAGCAACAGCGACGACGGTGAAAGGCAAAAGCAGCGCTCTAGACGCGACCTAAAACAACAAAATCAAGACGCCGCCGACGCCGCCGTCACCTGCCCACCTACCCCGGCCGACTCCTCCGTAGACCGAAAGGCAGCGTCGGCGAGGCACATTTCTGGCCCCCAACGATGGTTCGATGAATTTATTACTTTTGATGTTCAAACACGAAAACTGCTGCAGGCCATAAAACAAGGGCACAGACCAGACCACCCAGCACCCAGCACCCAGCACCCCTCCCCACGCCAACGAATTTCGCCAATCTGTTCACTGCCATCCATTCCAGGAGACTTTGGCAGAGTACAGCAAATGCTATTAAAAGTTTACATGTCTCAATAGAGTGTTAAGAGATTAGTTGGCATAAAATATTCGCAGAATTTCAACAGAAAAGTTAAGATGCCAGCGAACGGAGGCAATAGGGGAAAATTGGGAAAATAAATGGGAATTGATTGTGCAGTTGGTGCAAAGGGTTGTGGAGGGGAGCAGCAGCAGAACCAAAGTTATAGTTATGGAGGGGAATTTGATTTCGAATCAAATTGAACAGAAATTGGATGAGAATTAAATGGATTCGAATCAGCAAATAGTTAGCCGGAACAAAAGGAAATTCACGAACTTAAATTTAATAAAATTAAAAACTAAAGTAAGAAAATATATCAGAATTGATTGTGGAACTTAATCCAAATTCACAAATTTAAATTAAACAAAATTCAAAACTTAAGTAAAAAATATCAGAATATATTGTGCAATCCAATTCACGAATTTAATGGACAAAACTCAAAACTAAACTTGAAAATATATCAGAATTGATTGTGGATTTTAATCCCAATTCACGAATTTAAAGTGAACAAAATTCTAAACTAAAATAAGAAAATATATCCGAATTGATTGAGAAACTAAATCCAAATTCACGAATTTAAATGGAACAAAACTCAAAACTAAAGTTAGAAAATATATCAGAATTGATTGTGGAACTTAATCCAAATTCACGAATTTAAATAGAACAAAACTCAAAACTAAAGTTAGAAAATATATCAGAATTGATTGTGGAACTTAATCCAAATTCACAAATTTAAATTTAACAAAATTCAAAACTAAAGTAAAAAAAAAACCGAATTGATTGTGGAACTTAATCCGTGATCGACAATGATCACAATAAATGTTAGACAACAACTGAACGATAACATAAACAGAACAGAACAGAACAGAACCCTGAATGGCCATGGCATGCTGCATGTCTGACATTGTGAGCACTATGTACGGAGGGGTAGGGGTACGGCTACGTGTAGGGGTACGGGTACGTAACAAACATGAAAACTAATTGTACGAACAGCGATCTGTCGTGTGAGATATTGTGTACGAGGGACATACTATGTATGTATATAAATGAAGTGATTTGCGGGCAATTGGATCAGTGGGCACGAGAAAAATGGCACGTTACTGCAGTCTGTGGCCGTTCGCATTGCTCCTGGCGATCCACATTTGCCGCGCCGAAAAGCCCTACAGCGTCGATCTGAATTCCTTCGATCAGAACAAGGACTACGAGAGCGATGGCAAGTGGGTCGATTGGGGCACGCTGCGCATGAAGAAGGTGTCACGCAACAAGTTCGCCCTCGCCGGCGACTTTGAGTTCAAGTTGAACATGGGCGACGAGCAAGGGGTGAGTTGATGCATTCCGAATAAGTCGCCGCAGTGTCTCCTGCCACTCACACTGCACTCCTGCATCGTGCATCATTCCCCAAATTCAGATAATGCTGCGGGTGTTTGCCTACGACTCGAATGCCGGCCAAAAGGGTCCCCTGGTGATGAACATGAAGAAGCCGTTCTGCAAGTTTGTCAACGAGGACGAGAAAACCTATCCGTATCTGCAGAAGGCCTCCAACATGCCAGAACAGGGGGACTGTCCCTTCCCCAAGGGCCAGTACAAGATCGATAATTATGAGCTGGAGACCGAATTCCTGCCGGACGATGCCCCCAAGGGGGATTACCTGCTCGAGTTCACCATCCTGGACAAGGATGTCGGCGTGGCCGGCCTCATTGGCATTGTCACGCTGACCTAATGCGACACTCCCTCCATTTTTTCGCCATTTCCTCGTCTCTTAGTTGTGTGTTTTTTTTTATATTTTTGGTTTTTATTTTTGTTTTTTTTGTTGTGTGGTTTTTTCGGGTTTTTGGGTGGATCCATTCGACACGACAAGCGTTACGTTCCATGCTATATATATGTATCTACTTACTAGCCCTTTGCTCATTATGTGTATGCTATTTTTTTTTTGTTGCTGTATATTTTTATTAATCACGGACCTCAATATAATGAATATCGCTTTCAAAGACAAAAATTACACGACTCTGCACAGCCGCTGCTGCAGTGGGAAATGGGAGTGGGAGTGGGAGATGGTTGCCACGGGGTGGATGGGTGTTTCGAGAGTCAAGTGCAACGCACTCGCATGCTTGAAATGACAGGCACAAATAAAATCGAGCCACAAAATTTATGCTTCAACACCTCATCTAATTGAAATTTGGTGCCAGCCAGCCAGCCAGCTATACCTGCCATCCTGCCATTCTGCCATCCTGCTCTGTGTGTGTGTGTGGCATTTGTCATTGACAAAGCAGGTTGGCAGGCAACGCCCATCATCATCCTCATCATCCTCAGCATCATCATCATCATCATCGCAGGTCCTTGCAGCGTATTTAATGATATCTCTCGACTCTTACCCATTCTGCGGCTCCTTTTTTTTTCTGTTGCGTTGGTTTTTTGCTAAAAATGATTATCTCTGCATTACGATCCATTGATTCCACTTAAGCACCGTTACCATTGCACACACGCTGGCAGTCAGACAGAGGCGTCTCTCTCTCTGGTGGCCTAGAGTGGGCGTGCGAGTGGTAGTGGGGTAGGCAGGGCATACACATGCGACACTTAATTAACAAATATGCATTACAAACACCCGCAACGAGCGGCAATTGGTTGGTCATGTCAACCCAGTATCCCACAACCCCTCCGGTATGCGTATGAGTATTTTTCCCCCCCAAAAGACCAACTCGTTGTTAACCCTTTTACGTGCAGCAGTAGCAGCAGCAGCAGCAGCCCTCCCAGTGTGCGGCTCGTGTGGCAGCGCGGGTTGCATGTGTTTAATTGAAAAATCATATGCAGCGCGCATAATTATGTTTATTGCAATAATCCGATGCAAATTTTCCAAAACTCAAACTGACACACAATCACCGAAATGCTTTAGACGGTGGCTGCCACCACCGATGGGAGGCAGCGGGCCCAGGGGCCTAGCTAAAAGGGGGCCTGTGCCCATTACTGTGTGGAGGCCCCTTAATTAATATTGATAAATGAGATATTATTTATATTTTCCTATATCCCTTTTCGAGTGAGGCTTAGTCCATGCATTTAATTAATTATTTATATTTTTTTTATAATTTCCACTGATTTAATTTTAGAATTTCAGAACTTTAAATACGTTTTCTGCACTCTGAGCACATTTTAGTTTCACATTTGGCACGTAATTAATTAATTAATTAATTAAAATAATTGATTAATTATTAATTAAAATAATTTATTAACTATTAATATGTCATAATTTCCACTGATTTAATTTCTGAATTAACTTTAAATAAGTTTTACAAAGGACCCTGCCCCCCCTTTGTTAAATGTTTGACTATGCCCCTGAACCATCCACATCCCACAGCCCACAGCCCACACAGCCTCTCCCCCTGGAAACCGTGGCCGCTGCAGCTACGCCCTTGCGCTTTTGTGCATCTCCCCCCGCACACCCACACCCACACGTACACCCAATTCGTATCTGTATTTGTATCTATGCATAGCCGTGGCTGTATCTGTATCTGTAGCTGTTGTTTTTAGCTGCTGGCGCGCATTAAATTGCACTTTGAATTGCACATTTCAACGCCTACTGATTATGACAGATAATTATGTTATCGAGTGCCGCCACACGCCGCAGTCAGCCCTGTTCTCGTTCCTCGTTCCTCGTTCCACGTTCCACTGTGCTAACTTTGTCGCTGTCTCTGACACAGTTGCGGGCTGAGGACTTCTGGCTTCTGGCTCCTGGCTTTCTCCTCACAAATGTGCGTGGTGTGGCATATTTCGATTGCAGATCACACATGTGGATAGTGTGCCAGACAGAGTGCTGCACATAGCGCAAGGGGATAGCTGGGATAGCTGGGATAGCAAGGGATAGCAAGGGATAGCAAGGGGATAGCTGAGATAGCAAGGGATAGCATTTCCGATGGCAGATCTACAAAAAAGTTGAAACTGAATCAACTATAAGAATATCGTTTAATGATTTATGGAACTTATAATGTTTTGGTCGCTTAATCATTTGACTTTTAAATACTTATATGTACATTTTCTTCTTGTTCTTGGCATACCTCATTCCTTCCCACAAGAGGAGGCTCCTTTCGACTTGAACGATTTGAAGTTTGAGCTGTTGGTAAAGTCAAAGTCAAGAGAGCTCGAATCCACTCTGGTTTGTCCTAGGGGACTCATACATATACACATACATACTTACTATGCCATGCCACATCATAACATGCCTCATACCCATTATATTCCGTTGCCGCTTTGTGCTTTGTGGTGTGCGATGTGTGTGTGGGCGTACCTTGGGCGCAGGTACACATATTTTTAATCATCATTAACAATAATTCGAGAAATACTTTTAATTTTTTTCTTCTTTTCGCTGGGCATACACACACACACACACACACACCGGGGGGTGTCTGTGCGAGTGTGAGTGTGAGCCTTTTCTTTTCTTATTCTTATTCTCGTACGTACGCTTGGGCACGGGTATTCCCCTTTCTATTCGTGCCTCAATGACATTGCACTTACTGTCGCCTCTCCCCCCGTCCCCCGTTACCATGCCATCCACCACTTGGCCGCTCTCCTCCAAGATTTATGTGAATCCCCCTCTGGGGGATTGCTTTCGACGCCTGTGCTCATGTTGTTGTTGCTGTTGCTGCTGCTGCCTCCAGTCCCAGCCCCAGCCTCAGCCCCAGCCACATCTCCAGCTACAGAGATCCTTACAGTCTTAGGTTCGTTGTAGTATTTTTTCTGCCACTTTCTTGTGTGCAATATTAATTATTATGGGCGCTGCCACCCACACAAATAAATCATAAATTAAAAGCCAAGACCAGGGACCAGGAGGGCGACTGGGAACTGGGAGTGGGACTTGGGAGTGAGACTGGCACTGGGACTGGGACTGGGAAAGTGGCCAGCCACACCCAACCACCCTCCCATATCACCCTCTTAGACAATTTTTATCATTAAACGCATTTGATAATTAAAAATTGTCATTTTTTAGCCCCCCCCCCCCCTCCTATCCACACATTCTGTGGTGAAATATCATTTTCTCCTTCCATACAGAAAACTTTGGAAAAAAATGAAAAAAAAAAACAATATTAAATTACCAAATGCTTGCTGATGGTGGGTGGGGAGGGGAGAGGGGGTTAGCTAAAAGGCATTTATCATTTTGCCAACTGTTTGTTTGATAAGGGAAAAAGCAAACCAACAATGAACCAAACAACAACAAAAAAAAAACAACAAGAGAGAGAGAGAGAGACATAAATAAAAATTAATTGGTGAGCAGAAAAATACAAAAAAGGTGGAAAGAGTCCCGCTCCGCATAAATATTACTTAAAATAGATTCGGGAATGGCCGAAAAGTGCCAAGCGAATCTGGGGTAATTTTTCTGACTAGTAGAAAGCCAATCTCCTCCGATGCCACTGTCACTGCCCCTGCCACTGCCACTTACAGTTCCACTTGCTCTGCCACTGCCACTCGCGCTCATCTCTTTCATTTACCTTAATTTCTGTTCCATTTGTAGGGTTTCATTTCATTAAGTTTAACTACTAGCTCTTCGATGGTCCAGAGATGAGATGCCCGCCCCGAATGGCAACAGAAACAGACGGAAGACAGCCGTAAAAAGTAATGCAAGAAGTGGAAACCATTATAATTGTTGCTAAATGAAGCAGATAGACAGGCGAACAGACAGCCAGTGAGCCGAAGCCGGAGCCGGAGCCAGAGACAGAGCCAGCAAAGCAAATGTGTTTCCAATTGATAGAAGCCTCAGCCTCAGCGTCAGCTGTTGCCGCCTGCCCCAATTCGAAATGGCTGGCCCCCCCCCGGGTTGAGGCAGGGCTGAGGATGGTTTGCCACTTTTCAAGTTTTATTTTTGCCAGAAATAGATCTTAAGCGTTTAATGGGAAGTTCATTGAATGTAGCACTGGCAGTTAAAAGATGCAGGTTTCTCCCACGCTCAGCTGTCAATAGAAATGGGCACAGATTTTGTTGCAGTGATATACCATTTTAAATCTTTACTTAGAGTTGAAAAGAGTCATAACAAAGGATCAGAGGCAAAGAGCCCAATCAACAGAAGCCCAACTTAAGAGCTATGAATTAATCATGGATTCAATCGATTACAGGTTCAACTGAGAAAGCATTCGCAAGGGGCCGGACACTTGGGCTACTACTATTCTGACAACAAGGTCTTTAAACGACCGATTGAGGATATCAAAATGAAGGTAATTTCGTTCTGCTAGGCGACCAAGCAGCTACTCGAGGCGCTGACTGCACCAGAGAAGCAGAATAAAGCAAGCAGGCCGACAAGCAGTGCCCAGCAACTGGATGCACTGCTTAGGAGGATCAACAAAAATGCTGAAAAGAAATCCCAGAATAAGGATTGGGATTAAGGGAAGCTACGATCGATGCATTTAACATCTTATTATTAACATATTAAAAATCAATTTAATAGAAAAAGGAAATCCCCCCATTTAGATGACATTTCTTGGTAGCGCTTTTCCTGGCAGTCCCGGCTTTGCGCCCTGGAAATGACACGCAGACGAAAGCGGTCAGAAATGCCAGCATGATTAAATAAAATTGCCTATAAAATCGTATTTACTACAAGAGAATCACCAAACATCAGTGAAAGCCCTGGATGTCAGTTCTTTCTGCCGGAGGGGTTGCGTCCTCAGCCTCAAATTAGGGGAAGTTCGGCAGGTTGTTGAATTCTTTTTTGATTTTTGGGGCCTTATTTGGCATTGGTGGCATACAATTCCCCCCTCTCTGTCTCTCTCACGCTCTAATTCTGTCTTCACCGCCTTCTGCTGCTCGTGGATCGTCCTTCGGTTTAAGCCTTGGCATTTTACGCGCTATTACCACTTTTCGAAGCAATAAAATATTATTAAAATTATATTTTGTCTGCCGCACACACACAGACAGAAAGAGACAGACAGACAGACAGCCAGAAGAGATTGAAAGAGAGGCACACAGAGGCTGTAAATCAACGTCTCGATGACATTAAAATAAAATTTTAATGCCGCAACAGAGAGGGAGCAGGCCCAGAGCATGATGAAGAGATGGGGGCAATGGAAAGCAGCCATGCAATTTCCATGGCGCTTTTCGATCGAAAAACTTTCCCCGTCTGTAGTTTGGTCCGCTCCGCCGCGGCACAGTACGGCACGGCACGGCACGGCAAGATGGGGTGGGAGGGGCACCAGAGTGGTGGAGGAACGACTCTCATCATTTTCACCTTGGTTACACTGCAGAGCAGGGAATTTATTTGAATTTATCAGAGTTGCATACGCCCACCGTGTGCCGTTTCCCGTGTCCCATGTCCCGGGGCATTGCCCCCAACGTGCGGCTGTGCCGTGTCTGTCTGCTCATTTTCATGGGCTTCGGGGCAAATAATTGTAAATATTTGATACACAATAAGGCAATAAAAATAAAATTGAAAATTGTTCGCTTTGTGCTACGTTGCCTTTTATTATTATTATTATCATCAGCATCATCATCATGAGGAGCAGCACTGAGCCTCAGCCTCCAGTCGCCTTATCCTACTCCTGCTGCTGCTGGGCTGTGCCGATTTCATTCTGTCTGGGGGGGACTCTGTCGTAAAGGAAATTGATACATAAGTCATTTTTATTGGCATATTCTTTTGTGTAATTACGCTGCAGGTAATTTAAATTTCCGTTTTCCATTTCGCATTTCCCATTTCCCATTTGCCGTTCGCCCATTTCCGTTTCGTGCTTCTCGCTCGATGTACTCGTAATTTATGCCCGATGAAAAACCTATTAAAAATGTTATGCAATTTGCGTAAATCGCATCGATTTTCAGCTTGAATGCAAATCATTTGGCCAACTGTTGAAAAAATAAAAAGCAGAAATGCGAAAGACCCAAAGACAAGCAACAGAATGGATGGGAAACCCAAAATTAGCTTATTTTCGGTGACTTTATTTTGTGCTGCTGCTCCTCATTAGTCGTGGAGACGCTGCAGCAAATGCTCCAGCAGATTCACACAGACGCAGTAGACGACAATGATCCGGAAGCAGTGCATGCTGAAGGCCAGGAAGGCCATGGCATCGGGCGACATGGCTGGCCGAGAAGACCCAACAGAAACGATGCCACAACAATTGACAAGGAATTTCGAATGTGAAGTTTTCGTATAAAGTCTGAGGCTACTGGGTGGGGGAGGGGTTTCCAAAGTTTCCAAAGTTTTCAATTTCCATCGAACCGCAAATAAAAATTAATATTAAATTAAATATATTTCAAAATATTTGCTTATGGTACATGGTAGAACCCCCATTTATATGCACGCAAAAATCAACATAATATCCAGATATGTACATATTATCCCAAAAGATCTGTAATCTGTAATCGTGTGAGGCAGGGTGGATATGGTGGGGAGGGGGGGTAAAGTCAAGTCAGGTGAAAAACTTTTGCTGCTTGCCACTTAACCGTTCAATTTGGGGTTCCGACATCCTGCCGCAAATTTCTTCCACCATTTGTAGACGCTGCTCAGACCCCTCCCGATTCCCTTGCAACATCTACGTGTGATTGTGTGTGTGTGTGTGTGTTTGTAGAGCTTTTTTGGTGCAAAGTTTTTGCGGCTTTTTCAATATTTTATGAGTCAAGCTTTTGCGTTAACACCTTAAGTACGCAGGGCATTGCGGTTGCTGTAGATGGGGGGGAAATCATCCCACTCTGTGTGTGTTTGCTTCTATGTATGGGTGTGTGTGTGTGTGGCAGGAAATAACGCGCAAGTTGCAAGTTTTAACTAGCAAACAACTTGCCCCAGACCAAGTCGCCTACTCCACCGCCAGTGGCACTGCCACAACCACAAAATTGAGGATGAGAAGGACGATGACGACGTTGACTGTTGCGCCTGTTGCTGTGGTTGCAATGAAGCATCGAATATTCCACACTCTCCCATAGAATCCACAGAGTACAGCAGGCCACCCCCCGTCCACCCATCCCACCCCCACTCCATTTAGTCCATGGCACATTGTAGACGTCGACTACGATTTATTTCCCAGGCAACTTAAGTGCGCTTGGCCCTCTCCCCCCACCACTACTAACAAACGCTGGCCAGAAGCGCGCGAGAGCCTTTGAACAATGCCCATTCATGCAGACACGCCCACACACAAGCACAGGAGCACACACACACAAACACAGGAGCACACACAAACACACACACATATTCATAGAGTGTTTAAGCGGTTTGGGGGGTGTGGGTGGTGGGTGGTGGGGGCCTAACTCAATGAGTCGAAATTAAACAATGCAAAAGATTAAGTGCAGATTTGGGACTTTATCTGCTTGTGCCATAAATTGGTATTTAAGGGATACCTCACAAATGTCTATAGCACCCACCACACACACACACACACACACACACACACACACACACACACACACACACGCAAGCTTATAGAGGAGAGGCCCCTGAAAGTATTTGGCAAAGTTTGCTTTGCCAACAAAGGATCAGCCAGCAACAGCCACGCAACACAACGATATCGCGCCTCTGCCACAGCCACTGCTTCTGCCTCTGCCACTGCCACAGCCACTGCTATTCTGTAGGTGGCAACCCTGGCAAAGGGAAAAAACCACCGCACATATTCTCTTCAGTTCAGTTCAGTTCTGTTCTGTTTGTTGTTTCCTTTCCCAATACAGTTTACCTTCAGCGAAAGAGTGGAGCAGCAGCAGCAACAGCAGCAGGAGTGGCGCCCACAACATGCACAAGATTAATTGCAATCGGTGTTTGGGCATATGTTTTATACTTTGTCTTCTGCAACTCTACTTCCGCTTGCCGCTCTGCTTTCTCTGTGTATTTTCTTCAGGTTTTGTGTGAAAGTTTTTTGCGCTCCCTGACGGGATAAGCAGGGGCAGCAGGAGCAGCAGGTGAGTGCACTTGGCACTTGAGAAGGTAATTAAGCAACTATTTATGGGGTTGGCTGGTTCTGCCACAGCAGACACAAAACACATGTCAAAGAAACCAAAAGAAAAACCCCCTCCCCAATGGGCCAGGAACGGATATGAATGGAGGGCGAATATGAATATTGTTTACACTTGGGATCGGGTACATTTCAGTTACAATTTTATTATTATTATCGGAAACCAAACTAAAATATGGGGACATTGAAATAACGCAGCAAAAAGAACAAACATTTAAGTGCCACGCCCGACTTGCGCATCTTCGCCCGGTAGCGTTCCTCCTCGGTGATGGGTCCCCAGATTTGCTGGCTGAACAGCCATAAGACGATAAAGAGCAGGAACACCGCCACCATAAAGGTGAAAATATTCACACCGAACACACCCAAAGCCAGGTGCATAACTGCCGACGCATCACGCGGAAGCTGTGCTCCGCTCATGGATCGAACCTCTGACTGCACTTCCTTCAGTCCTTTGTCCAAACGCTTGACATTCTTGGGCTTGCCCTTTTCTGGGCGGCCTGTGCCTCTGCCGCGTTTCTTTGCCATGTTCTTCATTATATTAATCACCATTTTCTGCATCTTCGTCGACTTCTTTACCGACTTTACCGATTTCTTTACCGACTTCTTTCCCGACTTCTTTACCGACTTCTGCTTCATTTGGATGGACTGCTTGCCGTTTCTACTCTCCTTGATGTGAGGCAGGTCGGCGGTGGCCCTTAGCTCAGAATCGCCAATATCGAGCTCCAATCCATGCCAATCCTTGCGCCCCATGGGCCATGGCAAGCTGTTCGGTGCGCTGCAGTTACAGGCTGCCTTTGAAGTCGACGCATAAAGATCCAATGGAAGCTCTGACTTGGTTCTACGGAACGTTGCGCAGAATTTTGTGTGTTCAAACTTGTGATCTCTCCTGGCAGAGGTCACTTTGGGTTGCATCTTTGTCGGTACGGGGGGCATGGCCATGAATATGCATGTCGTACTGCTGGGGAAGAAGCCTCCCACTGCCTTGGACGTTGACTTGGTCTTGTCTTTACCGACCGATGGCTTTGCCGAAGATTCGATGGGCTGTGACGTTGGCTTGGCCGTGTTCCGATTGACAGATGGCTCTGGCGAGTTACGATGTAATTTAGTATCCTCGATCCCAGCATCGGACCTTTCAGACTCCAAAGTGCTGTACGAGGAGTCACTGATCGATGGCGAATGAAGTTTGTCCCACGACGAAGGCCTCGACGGACACAAATCCCCGTCAGATGGTATCAGCCTGAAAGCAGCGGTACGACAAACGGAATCTCAGGCATGGTGCGCAGGCAATTAAAAAAAACACTTACGTCCTGTTGTGGATGGGATGCCATCTCGGCATAGTTAATTGTTAATTTTTTTGTTGTTTGCAAATAAAATGTATAATAATTGTGTCTACCGAATACGACAGAGCGGAGTGGAGTGGAGTGTCGGGGGCTGCTACAAAACTAAAACTCTATTGAGGGATACTGTGAGCAATAGGTAGAATAGTATTTTAATATAATATCAGAGTAAGAATGAACTGATGAAGCACACGTTGCTGTTGCTGTTCTGCTCCTTAGCCCTACCCTAAGGTTGCTGTAAACAAAACCCCCCAAAAAAGGAAAAGGAAAAGTAAATGGAAGCAACATAATCCCGTCCGCAGCGCAGAGTGTAGGTGTCCATCTACGGTAGGAGAAAATAATAGAAGGAGCAGTTCATGGGGATTTTAGGGATATATAAATATTAAATTAAAAAATAAAATCTATGCCCGTATGCCTGACTGAGGAAAAAAACCTACCTGAGGAAGTGTGTGATGATGATTGCTGATCTTGCATTACAATGCTTGAGTGCAGCTCTCCATCCGGAAGACTTTTCCAACCAAATGCCGCGTGCCTCTCTCTACTAAGACAGACTTGCTTCCTTATACATACATATATATATATATTTACGGATATATATGTATATGTATAATACTGCTGCCACATTGTTTGTTTTCATGGCTCAGATGCTGTTTCTCGGCTGCCTCCCCAGTGCCCACTCAAGGGCTGTTTCGCCGGCTTTACCCAGTCCCTTTTTTGCTGGCACACCACAGTATTCCCCTACCCGCTGCAATCGTTCGTTATTCAATTTCATTTGCAGACCAGGACCATAATTCGATTGCTCCATGTCTTAATGCCATAATCTCAAGGAAGGACATGTGTTGGGAAGCAACAATAACAGCATACTGTGTTGTGTTGGCCTCCTTTCATCCGTTCATCATCAAGGCACCCAACGCAGCCAACACACCCAACCTTATGGCATCCTCTCGACTGTGGCTGTGGCATCAACACCATATCACTTTGATTACTTTATTATTGGTGGGCATGCACACCACACCACACCACACCTTTGTATCGCATATCGTATATGGAGTGTGCTCGTACACGTACTTCCCCACTCCCACTCTGCCAGAATTCCTGGCATTATCCCACTTTACTTATTAGAAGCAATCATACAACACTCTTCAAATGATACAGCGAGAGAAGAAAGAAAGAAAGAGAGAGAGAGAGGCTGAGGCAGCAGCAAGCGAAATTATAAATCATTTTTTCTGTATTTCTGTTTTTGTTGTTGATTTATGCGTTTGTTCGATGCCACTCACTCCTTCATTGTATCTCTGTTTCTTTCTATATTTGTCCCCCCTCTCTCTATGTCTCTTTATCTTTATCTCTCATTCTTGTGTTATATATAAAAGAATTCATACCCTGTTATGGTGGAGTACCAGAAGTACCAGAAATCATTTTGCAGCTATATTTAATTTAATACTATTTGTGTTTAATCATAGATACGAGTATATGTTTATATATGTATGTATATAGAGGTATTATCCACATACTGCAGATTTTAATGTACGACTATTTCCATATATTTTTTTTATTAATTGTTTTATTTTTTAAATTTTTATTTACCCTCCCAAGTCGAGGGTATTTTATGTTTGAAATATCGAACATATAGTTTTGCCTCTCTCTCTCTCTCCTCTCTTTCCTCTCTCTGTGTGTGTACTTTCTCTCCGTTTCTCTTTGCACTTTAGCTCCTGTTGATAATGAGCCAAATCATTTTTCGTGAGATATTTTCCCCACCACCCATCGTTCGGCATACAAGTAGCTGGAAAACTTATGCTCCCCGCCCTCCCGAACTTCTAAGCTAGTTACGATGCCTTTGTCTGGCAAGTCATTCCCTCCCTCAGCACCGCACACCTTAGGCTTTGCCACACCGAAAGAGAGACAGAGACAGAGAGAGAGAGAGAGAGAGAGGAAGTTTGGTCCTTGAAAGCGTTATAAATCATTGACATGATTAAGCGACGCGGCACGACACGACATCCTTTTGTTGCACGAGTATTCACTGTAGTTGTATGCGCATCCGTATGTGTGTGTGTGTGTGGGGGGACAGAGGGCTTCGGAATGGGGGGGGTTGGGGATTTTGATTGGAGTAGCAGTGAAAGTTAATCCACGACGGGAGGGATGTGGATGTTGGCCCGAAATGATAATTTAATATCGAAAAATGTTTTTATTGAGTTGATTTGTAAGTGGAGCTAGTCGCTAGTGGCACGGGAACGCCACTTGAGTCCCCCCCTGGAGCTTTAATGGGGCTGCATAGTCGACAGATTTTCAGTTGCAATAAAAGAAAATTATGGAGCAAGACGCTTAAATGTGCGATGGGAATCTTTGTTGAGGTACTGTTCGGGTTTTAGCTTGGAATAAATTCAGGTGAAAAGTAAAGCTCGTGTCTAGACTCTAGAGGGAAGCGGCAACATCTGCCAAAAGTAGTACTGCGCAGTCCCAACTCGTTTTTCGATACAACTTAAAAATTAAACATTTTCCTCTGCTGCAATAAAATTTCGAATTAGATTTGCCAAGTGAAATGCTGCCATGGATCCATGGGTACCAGGAGGACCAGGACCAAGTCTCAGTCCAAAACCCAAACGAACAACCAATCCCACACGACGATGCATTGAATTCTGGTGAACTGGATGCGGCTTTGCTACCTTGTGGAGTCTTCTTGCAGCTAGCTCCTGCGAGCGCCCAGCATCTCAATATCGATGTTGTGCGTCTCGTCGTTGAGCAGCAGGAAAACACCGAAGAGACAGCCGCGCACAACAACGCCATTGAAGAGCAGCTCAATCGACTGGTCGAGCAGATCAGCGGATTCTGTGAGGCATCCATTGCAGAATGGCTCAAATCGATAGTTTTCTTATGTTCTTTTCCATTTTAACTATCTACACATATTTCGGATAATACAATTTCGGCTTTAGGATTATGGATTATTAATTATTATTATTATATTATTATTATTATTATTATTATTATTATTAAGGATTGCACTCAGTTGGGGGAGAAGGCTGGGCCTGCTGTGGTTTTATTCGATTGGAAGACAGACGGGTCATGACTAATATTGTGGGACTATCAGAAGGTTTTCCCTGCCTTCTTGGTGCAGTGTTCTTGTGTGTACATATGTTGGGTAAAACTTTACCTGTCTCTCTTCGATGTACCGAGAGATGATCATAGAATACGAGCTTTGGATGTGGGCACAATTTATGCTATGAAGTTAGAGCTCCATGCTCTTGGTCTTCCTTCCTTTTGGAAGCTCTTAAGAGCTACATATACATATATATATATATACATATGAATGTATTTATGTATGTAAAAAAAGGCCACTTGGAAGCCCTCGCTCTGGCTGCTAACATGCGAGTGCCGCCGAGTACTCGTAGCGTTTCGTTTGCCTTAGCACTTGTTGTCGTTTCTTGCCTCGTTTCTCATAGCATTCCATTCCGTTCCATTCCCATTCTCATGCCCATTCCATTACCACTCCATGCCATGCCTATTCGCACCATCCTTCCGTTACTCACATCAAACATATTTATGTGTACTTTAAGAAACTTTGCTAATATGTTAAAACTGTTCATTGACACCAAAAAATGAGCAAAAAGCGTGCCAGCGGAAAAAAAGGCGAACCAGAGGGAGGAGGCTACAGCTCAAGTGCTCTCTCGCTCTCGCTCTCCCTCGCTCTCGCTCTCCCTCGCTCTCTCTCTCTCTCGAGCGAGCGAGCTGTTTGAGTTTCGACTGCCTGCACGTGTGGTGGGGGGAGGAGTAGAGCAAGAACACTCTCTCATATGTGAGCCGCGACTGCTGCTGCTGCTGCCTGTCAGTGTTTGCAGTGTTGGAAAACACAAACACAAACTGTGCGCTTATTAAACGGCAGATGGCAGAGGCCAGGCAGCCCCACCGCTTCGCCGCTTCGGTGCCGTTGCCAGGCAGGCAGGGTGGCAGGGGATGCCAGGGGGGTAGGGAAGAGATTGGTTGGCACTGAGTTCTAGTCAAATAGCCGAAATAGAAACAACCGAAACAAACTTTGTTTGCCGCTACTGCAATATTAACTGTTAATTATGGCCATTCTGGCAGCCGACCCCCGCCGCCACCCGGGCAGCCCTCGAGGGCCCCATCTTCGTCTGTCAATATTGGTTGAAACACTTTCTGATAGCCGAAATGCCTTTTGAATATGACCGAACTCGAACACGAACCCGAACCCGAACCAAAGCGAAGCGGCCAAAAGTTATGCAATTGCACAATTGCAATTGCCGCCACGGGGGGCACGGCCGGGGGCACGGGTACGGGCATTCAGCATTCACTATTTTATTAGAAAAGTTTCCATCGACCATCCGGCCACTCCAGCACCACCGTTCAGCACAGTCTACCCCCAATGTTTGACTTTATGCGCTATTTTTTAATATTTATTATGGCTGATTGCGATTCCTCTCAAGCCTCCACCATCGCCCCCCATCGCATGGCCATGCGGGACGCCGCGTCCACTCGTACATTCAGTTTGGGTCTGTGGTTGGGGGGTGGTGCGGGGATATCGCCGCTTATTGTTTGCTTTGCGGCGTACCAAGACCAACACCAAGGAGCGGTGGAGCAGGAAGTATCAGGGAGTAGCAAAAAAAAAAAAAAAAAACATTCTATGGAAATGTAAAAGTTTAGACAGAGGGCTGACTGCATTCACGCATTATAATTTAAGTGAAACATAAATATTGATGTAATAAATTAATTTCTGTTAAATTGAAAGATAGAACCCCAGAGTCCTGAGCTGGAGCCCAGCCCAGCACCCAGCCCAGCACCCAGGCAGATCCATTCAGTTTTTGGCTTTGATTGGAGTACTCCCCTCTGCCTGAGGTATGTATTGGTGCTGGGCAACAGGGCAGGGCCATTGATTTTCGTATGAAAGTCGAGCAGTCGAGTAGCATTTGAAAATGGAACTTTAACTACAAAAATACATACACACAGCCTAGCTATCAGAATTGATTCTGTCACTGAGCCGAAATCGAACTGAAATCGTTCCGATTCTGTTTTATTTTCCCCCCAATACTAAATTAAAAGAACACCTAAAATCGCGCCCAGAGATATGCCACCATTCATACGCGATGACAAGCA